AAACACAGAAAAAACGTCGTGTGCGCGCGTGTGTGCTCTACAGTATTGTTGTCGGCACACCGTGAATAATAAAGGAGTGTTTACGGGCCACGGGAAAGGGCTATATGTGCAAAAGACATCGTGGACAGAAACACCGTGGCTGCTGCTGCAGTATTATGAAATATGGGACAATTTTCCACGGGTAAAACGTGACCGGAATATTTTACGAGCGCGTGGCGATAAAGCAACGCGCGAAGATTCTTGGATTTTTTGTTATTTCTTTTTACTTATATATTTATACGCTATTCTCTCACCCTCATCCCCTCCTAACACCCACTAACCTATACATACATTATACACCTACTACTATGCCGTATACTATATAATAATAATATAATATGCTACTTTGTGGTGTGTGTGTGTGTGTGTGTGTGTGTGTGTACATATTATAATATTATATATAGTCGCCCGGCGGGACAGCTTTCTCCACAATGACCCCCCCGTCCCGCACTCACCGATAGGTCTATATTATTATATTACGAAATGATAAAAGACACGGATAAAAAGAATATGATATGTGGTTGGACCGCTTCCAGGGAGCTCTTCCCGAGGGGTGGTACTGTATGATTTTGAAATATTGAATGTGCGTATGTGTGAGAGCTAGTGGCTATAGGTAGACGATAAATACCAACAATTTTTATTTCTTTTAATAGGATTGCTTTATCGACTCGCAAGGTAAAGAGAGCGTATACAATTTATTGTATCATTGTATACGACTGCATGTGAATAATGTATTAATGTGTTGACAAAAAGGCAGGTACGTATAATATTACGGGTGGGTGCTGCAGTATTATATGGTGTATTATATTTTCAGGCGACAGTTTGAGTGACAATTGTCAACGGGGGACAATTATTCCGCGGCCATGATCCCGCGCGAAGTCCCGCGAGGGAACTACGCCAATGACCAAGGTGCACACGTATGACCGTGTTTCAATAAAAGCTAAAATAGAGTTTATGCCAAGAAAGGGGGTAAAACGTGTAAAACGTTTGGAAATCGACGTTTGAATAAACATTTTCAACCTTTTTTCCCCTCCGTCTCATTTCCAAATTCAATGTAGTTGAATGATTTCCAAAAACGGGTTTTTCCTTTTTTTGCGCTCTCCAACCTTTTACGATTTTTTTTTTCGTAATCGGTAGGTATTCCACGTGTCTTTTGCATTTTGTTCATAAATCTTTAACACTATATTATAATATTCACATAGCATTTTAATCAATACATATACGCCATTCGTAAATATTGTTTATTAAAAATATTTTCAAAGTTGTCCAGATTACCTTCACGAACTACCAACCTTTTACTCATAGATAAATTGTGTAGTACAGTTTAACAACATTCAATATTTCAAATCAATGATTCTATAAATGTTTAAACGTTAATGGGGAGAAAGTTTAAGCGCATTTACGTAAGCTTTAGTAAGTACTTCTGCTGAAACAGTGATATAAAATTTTAATATTCGTAATTATACCTGTACATTTTGGATGTTTTTTTTAGTACACTCAACTAATGTAATACCTAACACGGGATGTCGGGATGTTTTTATTTTCGTAAATTTTAATCGTATTAAAATAAAACCAATGATTTTCTGTATACATTTTTATATTATGGGTAAGTATTTAGAATTATTTTTTTTTCATTAACGTTATTAAACCAAATCAAAGTTGATATGTACGTAAATAACTAAATATTATTACCTACCTAACATTTAAAAAAAATATGGACAATTTGAGGCTGGTGAACGTGATAAACTGATACTTGAATATTATTAATAACACAATATATTGATATAAGTGTAATGTATATACTATATTATATATTATAGTATTATACAACACAATATAATATAATATTGACTCGGTTGAACAATAGCTCCCCGTCAACATTCTCAAAGCCAACACGACCGCCATTAAGAGAGTGAGAACAATATCTGTCCCATTGGCCATTGTCGCCAGTGACTATGACAGTCAACAGCTAAAATGCTTACTTTGCGTTTACATATATAATTAATTACGACGAGTTTCCTTCGAAATAGTTAACCTTACATCCATATGGGGCATTTGGGATGTGAAAGGTTAGACAAGAATATTATAATCACATCAATCGTTGAGTATGTTGCGTGTTATTCAATAGCTAAATTCTGGGCCACGCGTTCTATAAGTTAGCTACGAAAGTACGAACTGTTTACTTTAATAATTAAGAGGGAACGCGGCGTATAATAGATATTAGCAATATAGCTGGTCGAACAGAGAAAGTGTTATGTTTCCATGCAAAGGATGACGAGCATGAAGACTGAAGTGTGATCACCCGAATGAGATATTAAGTGCTATAGGTACTTGTACTTTAAACTGTTCTCGAAGATCACAGTTTTATCAGCGATATTAATGGACGTATGTCGGTATACAATTTTCGAGTTTTTTGTCCTCGGCCAATAGCAAACGGGATAGTTGACCATAATTTTTGCGTACACTAAAGTATAATTTTTATTTTGACGAATGTTGGGTATTTATTAAAATAATTTTGTATATTTCAAACTGAAACACCGCGCCAAGTGTTATTAATCGCATCTATTTATTAGTTAATTCAATGCGTTTAGTATATTATGTATACTGTATAGCTGTATAGCCGTATAGGTAATAATATTCCCGTTTGCTGGACGTGCATTATTTATAAATCGTTACTGGTTATTTTGGACTTATTGACTTTGACAAATTCGATGGAGGTGCAAAGCGAACTTGATACATTACGCACATAGTTCCTAATGCCTTTAATTTACAAAAACATGCATATTGTATAAATAATAACGCATACCATATAATATAATATTGCCCAATATTAATGTAGTGTGATCAGTTACGAACAGGTCACAGTCCGCAGATATACATATACCTATAGGTGTGGTGCGTTAAAAATGAATATTATATTGGCCTAGTCGTTGGCGCTTAATCCAAAACATGTGCACATAACATATTATAATAATATATTAATATAATATACGAATACGATAGTAGTATAGACTATAGAGTACACTAATGCGACTTAAGTTGCATTCACGAATTCATAACATAACAAGTCAACAAATATATATAACTGTTATATATATCCTATAGGTACCTCGATACTATATAGACGGGCTAATGTCGAGATTAGCAGGTTAAAACAAACAAAATAATTAACATTTAAGTAAATTAAAAAATATCATAAATTACTGATACTGGAGTGCCCATCCCAGATATTGATATCGATAGAGGAAAAAAGGGTGATCTTTTATAATTATTTATTTGTTGTATCTGCTTATTGATGGTGGAAGTCAGATAACCAGTGACCAGTCTTTGGATCTTACCCGTAGCCCATTGTACTATATTATAGCAGCTGCGTATAACAATCCACGGTAGCCGTTGTGCACTTTAAATGCATTAATTGAATAAGTAAATATTTTTTAAGTTAATCACTCCTATCATACCCATTAATCATTTTGTATCGCACTGTAATAATAACACAATTATAAAACACGGACGTTATTGAATCAACCGCACACCCGTCCGGACACGGCCTTGTCGACCGCAACAGTATAACAATAACATAATGTTATATAAGTATAATACACCACGCCACAGTGTGGTATCTTTGGTGCACGCGTGGTTTCCGGTCACATCTGAAAACGCTAATTGAGCGTGTAATTTCTGCACGTAGGTAACCGTGTACTAGTGGTAGTAATAGTACTATTATAATAGTGGTAACAGTAGTATATAGTAATAATAGTAATAATAATCTTCCTACAGGCTGCAGTTATACATAATATCCCGTCCTACCCACGCGTTCGAGTCTCTGAGAACTGTTTGACTCGGGCCACCACCCTCCGTGTTTGGCAATTAACGTTTTGTCCCTACGCCACCACCGAATATATAACTATCTCGGGAACTTGGTTAATAAACAATGTTAACGTGGTATGCGGTCCTCGGGATAGCGCGTAAGTATGCGAAGACCGGTCGGAAAACAAAACCCGTGACATTTTGCACCGGACCGATTTAGTTTCGCCATACTTTTCTGTGCGGAGTTTGAACAGCATGGCTGGCGGTCACCAAACTATTCAACAACATTATACATTATTGCGGGATTGTATATGAACCTTCGCCACCCGATGCTTACCACCCGATTTACCTTACAATCTTCAACCAGAGAACGATCACTGTAAATGATAATACTTAGATATTATATAACATATACGTATGTTTACATAAAAAAATAATAATTTATTATAATATACATTACACTAGTTAACCGTTATAATGTAATAGAAGCAATGAATAAAAATGTTGGGCACTCATAACACACAAAAAAAATATTTTATACTGATTTTATGGCAAAGAGATACTTACTCCAAAATACTATAGTACGACATACTTAATACGCTTATACTATATTAAATTACCAAATAATACTTTAAGGTGCTCTTACCTGTGATATCTGATAGTAAGTCGAGTGGTATGCTCGTATATTAACAATTTCATTTGATTTGGAACAAATCAATAAGCGAAAGTTTGATTGTCTTTGGTGAAGTGAGTTGACAAAGTATAGATGAATATGACTTATTATTAATATTGTTATACTTGTAAGAGAACGAAAAGAGAACACAGAAAGTTGCATTGGTCATTGAATGATAGACAGAAACTCTAAAGATAATATTCGAAAATAAAGAATTTATTTTTCGAGTTCACTATAATATACGCTATACTCAAGATATTTCAGAAGAAAATGTTTTTAGTATAGTCTGAAATTATTTAAGCTGTTAAAAAAAAACCTAGTTAAGAAGACCGTTATCATGTTCAATTTTGATGTTAAGAACACATTTAATAAAATAAAAACTTTTCAACACGATCGAAAGAATAAAAATAAATGTAGTGCTGATCCATATAATATGACTGTAGGCCTGGCATCTTATATAATATATATATACAATGTATATATGCCTGGCAAGGAAAGAACGCAGTATAACTGGATAAGGTTTTCCGAGTTTAAACTCGAGAAAGAACATTTGCAAAGCGACTTCGGCAAGTTTAAGCGGCTTAAAACAGATATCTTCAACGTGAAACGGATACATAAGACATTACGATTTAGAAACACTAAACAGAAGCCCAACAACACGACGTGGACGAATAGTAGCGAGAGCGAAATATCGAACTCACGATTCCAATATAAAAATTCTGAACTTACAACACACCGTGTGAAACGCGTGACCCGAAATTTGGACACAGTAAATTGAAGGCTCTGTCCTCCACCCGAACAAATCAAAAAGGTCGAGGTTGCCTGAAATATCTCACAGTCAATATTATATTGAAGACGTATGGAAGGATGGTGGTATACTGGTATAATATGTACCAATGAAAAATAAAATACTAGACACAATATTATGCATGTAACTATAGCGAACATAAATACGTAATATGAAATTCTACGTATAACGTTATTATCCTAATAAACATTTTATATTTATTTACCTACCTACTACAAATAAGTCATAATATTATTATTATTTTTATACTCACATACAGAAATGCATGTCTAATTTTAACACTCTTTATTTGTTTTAAATGAAAATATAATAATATGATCCGATAGTCGTTGCTTGTTGTACTATATTATAAGGTTCTTAGAATATGTTAGTGAATCTGAAAACATGTTTGATAATTTTATACATCTAAAAGACAAAATTAAAATGTTTTCTACTTCTGTACCTACCTATTTGCCTAACATTCGATTTTGGAGTGTAACTGTGTAATATGATATGCAACATTAGTGTTAGAATTATGTATATCAAACGGATACATATTATTATGTTATTTAGTAAATAAAAATAATACATTTTTTAAATAATAATTATAATAAATGTATATTATATTTATTACTTAAAAAAAAAACTGAAATACAGAAACGAGTGAAATAGAAAAAACAATCAACACCCAAATTATACTTCTATATTTGTATTGCTAAAACATATAGTGGTATCCACAGTTTCATTAGGTAGACATTTTATCAAAGAAATAAAACTGGTATGTGTATTTAAGTTTGACAAATTTCAATGTTTGATTCTACGATCGTGTTTAAACATATTTTGTAATTATAATTTGAGCATTTTAAATTAATTAAAACAGAATTATAAAGGGCTATACAGTGTTGTTTTATAATTAAACATTGTTCAATAATCTATAAAATATACCCTCTTTCGCATTGTGTTTACAAATATTGTTAAGACAAAAGAAAATATAAATAAACTAAATCACTATTATAGTATTATGACAACATTCCTTTTCCAATACCGAACAACGGGTCAGTTTTATTCAGTAAACGTTAATATTTTATTTAAATAGATTCAATACTCAAGCCATATTTTATAATATCTGTTAAATGAGGAAGTATAGTTTCAATAACATAACAACATTTTATAGGTAAATAAAATAAAATAAAAATATAAACTAATAAATTAATTCGAAATGAAGTTTAGTTTGTTCAAGACGGGTTGAAACTTGGAAGACTGGAATGAACGAACACCAGTTGTCACTTGTCAAGAAGTTAAACCATTTCACCGGTTGCTTATTTTCCGATGGATGATCACTGGCCACCCAAGTATTCATCAATAATGTATTTAATAACGTGCACAATACTTATATTTATAATTTAAAAATAGAATTGTTGATATCTGAAAAATTTGAATCTCCACTATAATAAAACATCTTTATTATTACGTGGCTTAAATTGTAATCAAATCGAAGTGAATACTGAATAGAGTGTTTGAATAGAAGAACTTTTTTTAAATAATTTAAAATACAAAATTTATAAAAAAATTAAAGTTTCTACTGTTTACAAAAATTGATGGTGGATAAATTGAATATCCAATGTCTTTAAAATTTGAATTTAAATTAATATACAGTAGCCGATTATTATATTACATGCAGTATTGGCAAGTAATAAGTACCAACCACTTTTGTCAATTTTAATTGCGGTTTAAAAAATAAAATATAAAAATGGAGATAACATAAAATGGTGTATTTAAGCAGTTTAAAATCAAAAACACCTCTTCAGGAATATTTACGAACGTGTCTCCAATCTACAGCCTTAAGTCTCTTTTTAAATTTATGAAGAATGTGAGGACTTGGGAGTTTGGGACACGTACGTGAAATACGTTTTGTCATTGTATAATAGTTACTTCTGTTACATTATAATCCTAAAAGAATCGGTAAAAAGTTTTAAGGTTCCTGGTTTACGATGTGAATTTTACAAGATTTCAAAATAAATTACCCATTACGGAGGAACAGTATTATAAAAGTATATTTTTTTATTATGTCATTTCAACAAATAAAAAAAACTAACTGGTATGTACAAAATTATAAAATATACTTAAATTGTTATTATGATACCCCAGAGAAGATTTATAGTTTGTACTTCATAAAATTATATTAACTTATAAGCAGTTACTATAATAATTTAAGATTTTTAATACTATAAAATATAGTATTTGATCATGCACGATGAGCAATTTAAAATTAATATCAAAAACGTTCAGATTGATAGAAGCAAATATCATATTATATTTTATGATTTTTAAATTATCTGGGATTACAAGAAATTAAATTTGCTTAAAAAAAAAAAAATGTCTAATGAAAATATCAAATAGATACCTTATGAAACTTCTTTATATTATTATGTTTTTAAATAATGTTTATTTTAATGTAAATGTACTTGAAACGAGTATTAAAAATACATTATAATGCTGTTCTTCATCAAATGTTCGTTAATAAAAAGTAAAGTTGTACGTTATTATGATATTTCATTTATAATAAATACCTGCTTAACTATACCAAATAGTAAACATATGAATAATACACAAAATATAAATTTGAAATTGTATTTAAATAGGTGCCTACATATTATACTTAGAAATATTTATTGTATTATGTCTAAAAAGAATTATTCTAACTATTGAAATCTACCATGTACGTAGTTATACCAGGTAGGTCTTAGTAGGTCCTAATGTTTGTAATTAAATCTTTTGAATAAAAAAAAATCCAAATAGTGAAGTTAGCTAATTAATATTTCGAACATACTTACTTTGCACATAATAATATTAAATTTAGTTTAAATACTATTAATGTCGTAGTTATTAATTATAATATAATATTTAAAATATAAGATATAGAACAGTATATTGTATAATATTTACACAATAAATTTTAGAAAATATTATACATATAGAACACATATATAATAACATAAATTATAAATTAAACGACATTATTGTTACATTGTACCTACTACATTGAATAGGTATTTATGTTATGCTTGGATGTAGGTAATTAAAAATATTGTTTATTTTAATTCAACTAACCTGTTAAAAAACAAAAATTTATTTTTAAAGCTTAAAGAAAATATTATGTGTTTCAACTGTTTCAAGGAAAGTCAATTTTTAAAAAAAGATCAAAAGAAACAATAACGATTACATTTTGTGTAAAATGTATAAGCTGTAGGTTATTTGAGCTACACAATATCTAATAAACGGAGTAAAATAATTTTGTTATAAGTGAAAATATATTATTTATTAGGTTCTGAGTATAAGGCGCGGATTTCAAAGCAAATTGAATTTTTTTTGGAAGCTCTAAATCAATGTTTTTAAAATAGAAAATTAATTTCATACATTGTACTATCGTAGTATTAAAATTGCAAATTTTATTTTGTTGTTTGGTCAGATATTATTATTATTATTTTTTTTTTTAATTGGTCTTGAAATTTATACAATTTCTGCTTTGACTACTTGGTCATTAGCATTCATATATTGTTATAAGCTTTATAATTGCATTAAGTCATTTTTAGCATAATTATAGATAGGTATACCTACTTTATTATTAATTCTTATTTTTTTTCATCATTTTATACCAAAAGAAGTTTTTTTAAAGTTCTGAAACATAATATTCTTTGTAATCGAAATACATTTTTAAATGATTAGATACTGGAAGTTATGCCTTTGCATTTCGATGTCAAACGTAATTTTTCCATTTTTTTTTTTAAAATATATTTTCAGATAAGTGATAACCGAAGGACATTGTAATTTTAGCATTTTAAAAACTGCATCCTGCAGTTCAAAGATCACGTACAAAAAAGGTTAAAAATAAAATAATAGAGGTGGTTATATTTTTAAGTTTAGATTTAATTAAAAAAAATATTTATACCAATTTTAAGTTATTTATAATTATAGGCATTTGTAATTTTCTTGGTATTTTTCAAAAGTATTGATCATAACTTTTAGGCTCAGTAAAAAAGCTTAAACATTTAATACAATACCTCATATACCTAAGTTTTTTTATAACTCTTAAAAAGTATTAAAAGGTATATCCACGATTTTCTTTTATTTTAGAAATTTGTTGAAATAAAATTTTCAATTTTAAGATAGTGTGGGCTTAATTGTTTAAAAATGTAATATAAGGTTACACGAAAACTTGAATGTAAAATAAATATATATGCAACATTTATTTTTAAAGACATTTGGATGTAATTTGAATGACTTTCGTTATGTAAACAAAAAATAACGATTTAAAGTTCTTCTTAATAATTCAAAAATATTCGTGACCACTTACTTTTACATATATTATTATACCCTACAAGTTGTTAGGCATAATATAATTTTCAAAATGTTAAGATTAATTTTAAGCTGTTTTTTATTTATACCACTAACCTATTCACACCGTTAATAAATTATTATTCGAATATAATATACATATAATTCAACTATTACAATAACCACTGATTTAATAAATGGGATGATTAAATTAATTCAATCTATCGTATTTCTAATAGTAAAATAAGTTACTAATACCAGTATAAATACATAAGAATACATACTTAGCAATATAAGCTGATGGACCGTCACCACTCACCTTTCAGAATCGTTTTTTTTGTATGCAATGATTTATCGCTGAATTCAAATTTAAGACATCCATTATAGTAGAGTCTACTCAATGACGAGATACACTCGACTATACAACAGAGCGGTTCATTATTTTTAATTTTTTTGATATAAAATATTTATTATTAATATTCGAAATTTCAGTTAAATTGAATATTTTTAGATTCTGAGAGGAACGGAAAAATGTATATTGGTTTTACAATTTTGTATTAAGATAAAATTAAAAGGTGTTACTTTTTTATATCAGTTCTAATCTTTTTCCACTTAAAATATTGGGCATCATTAATAAAAAATAAACAATTTTCTCT